AACAGTTACTTTTCTTAGTGGGTCGATAAGATGTGCACGTTCATGGCCACATTTAATAACTTCCTTTATTAATACATAAATTATATATAAAAAAAATGAGTAGGGAGTGAATGACAAAATTGCCATCAACATAATAAGGAAAATATTTAAAGTTAGAGGGCAAAATAGGGAGATAAAGTTTCTCCTTATAGCCCCTTTTATATATACTATAGATATAGATAAATACTACAGTTTTAAAAAAAATGTAGATTTGAACCTAATAAGCGAATTCGAGCCTGACTTTGGTAAATAAAGTATCAATTATCTTTAAGGTCAAAGATTCACCTGTCTACTTTTACAACCATTGTGCTCGAAAATCATGTTTTCAACTTTAGTGTAGAAGTGTTAGAGGTGGCTAGAGGAAAAGGTATGATGATAAAATTGTGGTAGTTGACTGGGTTTGGAAACGAAGCCAATTTCTTTCAAGATCCTTGGTAGTTGTTTCTCCTCTTAAAGATCGTATGCATTGAAAAAAAAACGAACCTTACAAATATTTGTAATACACGTAGATTATTCATCTCATTGTCAATTAATTTTGAGATAGAACATCGTAAATATTGATATAGTATCAGAGTCTAAAAGCTGAAATGAATATCGGTCCAGAAATGAGATCCGACCAAAATTGACAAACCAAAAGAGTATAAACCTATTAAGAATTCCATGTTAAAAGGGAAGGAGACTTTACAAAAGTTTATAATAACCTCCCAGCTGTACTATTGTCTCTCCCTCCTCCTCTGATCATTTCACGACTGTCAGAATCTCTCTTCTCTCACAACAATGTTGTTGTGGACTCCTCTTTCAATGCTGGCCAAAATTGCAACCCAACATTTCAGAGAATCGAACCAATCAATTCGTTAAAGTTTGTTTCATCCTTATTTGGACATTGATCTTGTTCAAATTTTTTAAGTTAACTCTACTAGCTTAACGTTAACGTAATAAGGTGTTTAAAAATTGGTGCAGTATGGCAATTAAACGTGCTAGATAGGACTAATTTCACGTGAGCGAACTAAGGAAGATACAAATTTTTGTAGAGAATTTGCTTGATTCTCTAAACCCCAGACCGCCCTCATGAGTCTATTGACTGCCAATTAGTTTATATGGTATGCTTCGGTTGTTAGATCGCGCTATGTAATATTTCATGTAAATGATTTAACAACATGACCATATTTTATACATATTTTTATATTTATAGACAATTTCCTCCCTACCACTTTAAATATTTGACAACTCGTTATTTTTTTAAAAAAATATTTGGTCTTTGCATTTTTCTATCTTAATTGTAAGAAATAAGTTGCTCCATGCTAGCAAGGAGTGAAATACCTTTTTAATAAGTAATACTGAAAATGATAAAAGTTTATCTCTTTAGAACTATGGAAGAGGAAGAGAAAGGTAAATACAAAATTTTATTTTAAGAAGTAATGAAGGGTGAAATATTCAATGAGTTGCAAGAAGATTAGGGAGAGAGGAGGCGATGGGTACAGAGTTTATCCCCAGATGGTAAGTTGGTAACTGGGAGTGGGAGTCCCCAAATTCCAATGCCATTCGCTTCCACTTCAAAATTTGGGTTCCTCTCTTTGCGTGCCCAAACAAACAAAACAATCACTCCCTTAGGCCTTTTATAGCCTCACAGTAGGCCTTATTTAACCAACCAACCAGACCACACCAGCCGCAACGCAACCGCGACTCCAGTGCCGCCGCTT